ATTTTAGGTTTAAATGAAATAATACACAGAGCCGAAAGCCATGGGCAACATGAGTTTTGAGTCCCAGCTTGTGAACCCTTCCTGATTCCGTCCCACTCTCTTCCTCTTCACCTACTAACATTTCCCTGTACTTTCATATCTCAAGGGGTTTCGAGGTCACTAATCTAAGCACATTTTTAAGTTATTATGCTGATAATATAATTTGTAAAAGAAAGAAAAAAAAAATGTTTATAAATGATAAAAATGAAAAATCTTAAAAAATATTTTAGACCCATACACTGAGACAAAACATTATACCGCTCTAAGGGCAAGCGAAAAAATTATGATCATTTCCTAACAAGGTCACATGACAAGTTCTTAGAAGATAAAATGATTAGTGAAAAATCAATGTTCTGCTGGGAAACCCTGGTCCTGCCATTTCATTTCAAGTAAATTTGATATGCGCCACCTACCTAAACGTTGTTGTAAACCAAGTACCTTTGTATACTGCATCTGTCGGATATGCTGGACCAACAAGATGGACCATGGCTCCATCTGGCAACTTACAGGACTTGAAGGTGGTGGTATTGTCTTCGTGTCAGATACCACAGGACACCTTCAGGGCTCTTGTCAAGTCCATGCCTCGTGGGTTGGAGCTGTTTGGTGGCACACAGAAGATCAACATGATATTAGGCAGGTGGTCATAATGTTTTGGCTCGTCAGTTACCGTAAACGTTATTTAGAATATATCAATTTACTGGACATTTATTCAATTTTTATATGCATGCTCAAGACTATTGATTCCATATTGACTGAATGATTATTGGCCGATATGTCGATAATCTCAGTTTGGTCAAATATCTATTGTTCTTATACTACAGCACAGACACATTGCCATATCTTTTGTGAGCACTCACTCGTACAAATCGATACAGAGCCTAATTTAAGACATCTCCTTACTTTTTCATTTTCTTTATAAAGCCAATCTAACAGGAACCATGGGGGGTTTATGCAGGCATTTCCAGCTTTTGTCCAATAGCTTGATCCTGAAATACTGGGCCTTAGAGAAATATATTATTTTGTTGGAGCAATCGAGAGCCGGTCCGCTGAAGGCGCATTTAGTGCTCAAACAGAGCACTCGAATATTAAAAGTATCTGTTTTCTAGCATCATTTCAGCTGGTTCGCGCTGAATTAATTTACAGCTTTCTGTTTTGGGTTTGTGTAGCACATATTTAAACAGTGAGCACACATTGTATAATGTCTTTTGAAATGCAGTTCACAGGAGTGACTTCACTTTAGTTGAACACATCTAAAGATTCACACTGTGTTTGTTCAGTTAAGTTAAAAAAAATAATAATTTAAACAAGTTAGTTTTGAGCTTTATATTTCCACGAGATAAAAATAGCCTTCTGGTCTCTGGCTCATTCAACACTGCCAGTGGCGTTTAGACGGAAGCGATTGCTGTGCCGTGTCCCAGTGTTGAATCAGTGTGTTTTTGTTATGCAGCCTCTTTTCTGTTGACATAGCCTGAGTGGGCCATGTGCTAATCCAGCAACAGGAAGTTATGAGTGCCACCACCCTCTCCCTCTGACACATAAAAATACACATGCTGTTGGTCTCTAACTCTCTCTCACTTTCACCCAGCCTGTGCTTCTCACTCAGAGACACATATACCAATGCTTTGAACAGTTTGTGTGCTTAGACCTTTCTCGTGTTTCTATGGTCTGACCTCAGTGAGTAAGACTAGAGCCGGTTTCGGGTCAGTGTCTTACTCTGGAGTTCTGCCACTGCTGAAGGACATGTACGTGTCACCACAACATTACCTTTACTGAGGCCATGGTGGATTCACACACACTTTCACACACTCCCTCACTCATTTACTCACATTACACTGGCCTGCCAACATTTCCATCAGCAAAATTAAGGGTGGACTGAATGACCAAATCTGTAGGCGGTATGGGTCATTTTATATTGTGATATATACACCACTGTTCACAAGTTTGGGCTCAGTAAGATTTGTTTTTAAATGAACAGCCTACATTTATTCAGTAAGGATGCATTCATTCAATTGATCAAAACTGTAAACTCACTGCCCAGCCTATTTAGATTTAAATAGGCAAATGCTGAAGAGTCTTTGATTGGATCATTATTGTGATTATTATGTTGTTTGGCAACAGTTCTTCCCTATAAAGGAAGATACATCATGGTCATATTCCAGAATGACAATGTCAAGATTCATCAGGCTCAAATAGTGAAAGAATGGTTAGGATTCATGGAAAGTCTTTGGGATGTGCTGGAGGAGAGTGCTTGACTCTTGCATTGTCAATATAAGATCTTGACCAAAAATGAATGCACTTCTTGATTGAAATAACATTTATCTCCATCAAGAGGTGCATACATTTATACATTTTTGGTCAAGACAATGCAAGAGTCAAGCACTCTGTAAAGTCTACTCCAGCACAAACGGCTACAAAAGATTTCTATTTCAAATAAGCGCTGTTCTTTTGAATTATACAATTTATCCTGAAAGAATCCTGAAAAAATAATGTTTTCAACATTCTAAATGGACTGATTATTCTCAATGATTTTTGAATGATCATGTGACACTGAATACTGAAGTAATGAGTGCTGAAGAGTCACATTGGCCATCACAGATAAATTACATTTTAAAATATATAAAAATAGAAAAACCTTATTTTAAATTGATTTTTTTTTCTTTTTGATCAAATAGATGCAGCCTTGGTGAACATAAGAGATTTCTTTCAAAAACACGAGATCTTATAGACCCTACACTTTTAACACACACATTTACTTGCTTTTTGTTTTATTTTTTGCGCAAACCAAAGTTAGTTTTCTACATTTGCACACAATGTATCTACCGTGATATTATCATTATAGCAGAATCATTACCAATTGATACTTTTTTTCTTTTCATTGCACAACACATACCATCATACTGCCTGAGCCAAAGATTAGGAGATAAACATTTTGAACTCAGAATAAACATTATTCGTTGTGGTTTTCCAGAACTGTTGACGCAATGTCAATGTTCAACCATTCAGCCCTCCATTGTTCACAGCCCTCTCACACCCTTATCCTCCAACTTGATTTTCCCCCTTCCTCAGGGAATGTTTCATTTTTTCTTCTCCTATGACTCATGAATGGCCCTCAATTTGTTGGCAGGACCAGGACGGTTCGCAGCCGTCTAATATCAACGCAAGAGCAGTGATGCAGTGAGGCAGGGACAGGGCCCTTTATCTCTCAGTCACCAAAGCCATCTTCAGGGAGATGTGTCAGAGACAGACCAAGCACTTGACCACAGGATGACGTAGAAACACCTCCCACTCGATTAATCACTCTCCCCTTCTGTCGGTGGGTGTCGACATTCGACTGCATGGGAATGATTCAAAGAACTCCCTTAGAATGACAAATTATGACAAAGCAAAATGAACAGAGTGTGAAGTATCCAAACTTTAAAAGGGCCACGTTTTACTTTTGCACCATTTATTACTTTCCCTCAAGTCCATATGCGATGACATTTGATGTTTATTGTTGTTATTATCAGGTTTCTTGGTATTTTTCCTCCATCTCCCTGACCTTAAAACTGAAGTCTGCAAATGACCTCTATTACAGTATGACCGGCTAATGTCTTTTGTATGTAAAATGAGTATGCATAATTAGAGGTTTTTAACTTCTTAATGTTGGAATTCTTGAGATTAAGATCATGCTGTGTGTAAACTTGGGTGATCATTCCTTGTGTTGATTTCTGAATGTTTTCTTTAGTTTCAGTAAATTGTCTGGGTGGGCTGTGTAGGGTCTACATAGTACATTACACCACCTCTTTGTCTGCAAAACTGCATGAGAAATCCTGTTTTCTATGATACGGCCCGTTTAAGTGAATTCGGAAAAGATAGATGGACAATGCCAAGCGTCAAACCCCAGATGACTCACTCTTGAGGAATGTAAATATGAAGTGTTCGAGATTCATTCATCATTCACTATGGGTGATCAAATACACACTCCTAAAGAGGAGAAATCTGTCACTGATTACATGGAGTTCGAAGCTAAAATACGAAATATTGCAAAGGACATGCAAAATACAGAGGATATTGGCAAGACAATAGCACATGTTTGTTCCAAGCGGGTATTATTCTCAGGCTCTTGTGTTGTCTATGCTCCCTGCTGTTGTACTCCAATTAAACGTTTCCTTTAGCAGGCCACCTGCCATTACCCATCAGCAGGAGGTGAGGGATTTCAGCTCTTGAGAGCGGAAATTGTAAAGGGCTCCGAGTAAATGATTGATGAAGTCAATCCTGATGCAGACAGAAGACCATAGCTTTGATTATTTGACCATAGTAACGTTAAACGTAGGTTGATTTAGAGGATTAGGAGGGAGTCGTCATTACCTCTCTTTCACTACCATTCACTTTCATTCTTTTACTGCCATTCACTTTCATTCTTCTACTTTTTGTTATTCATTTTTCTCTTCATTGTGCATGCATTGTACTGTTCAACAGTTTGGGATCAGTACAATATTATAAAAAAAACATTTATTAAAAAATGCTGGGTTGTTTCAACCAAAATTTGGGTCAAATATGGACAAACCCAAATGTTGGGTTAAGAATGCAATAAAAAAATATACAGTTAAAAAGTTGGAGTTTGAAGTAAAATTTAAATTACATTTTTAAATGTAAGCATTGTTTAGAGTGTGTGTGTGTGTATGTGTGTGTGTGTGTGTGTGTGTGTGTGTATATATATATATATATTATTCTGAAATTTCAGCTTTCTCAGGAATAAATTATATTCACAAATATATTCAAAAAGAAACCAGTTGTAATAATATGAAACAATTTGAATGTTTTTTTTACTGTATTTTTGGATTAAATACTCTAAATCCTACAGACCCCAAACTCTTGGGTTAATGTGATGTGTACCTTATGTGCATTCGGTGTTTTATGCTAAAGCATAATAATATATTATGTTATTATGCTAAACGTGGACATTTTTTGTCTCATTCCAGATTACCACATTGATCAATCACAAAGACAAGCTCAAGAAGACGGAGAAGACTTTACGGGCCATCCAGAAAGTGGGGCAGGCGGTGAGTGTTGCAGTTGGACGCTTTGTGGCGGTGGGTGAAGCCATTGCAGTGGAGAATGAAGACCTGAAGGACGAGATGGGACTGGCTTGCTTTGACGCTCGGAGAGCAGGTCAGTTTGACACTACTCAAATGGAAGAGCAATGACACAAGCAGCTTTCCAAGGTAGAGTTACCAGGCAACAAGGAACAGGAAATGGACAGCTAGGTTAAACATAGTGTAACTTGTCAACAAGCTCAAGACAGCCTGTCAGGGTTGTGGACCATGCAGAATTGATTTAAAAAAAAAATATATATATATATATATATATAACACCAGGATGCAGAATTGCATTTCCAATTTGAGGAATTATAATTAAAATAGAATAACATTCAGAGACATCCATAATAGCTTTTCCTCGTATGTTACCACACACATAAGAGGTACTTCAAGAAACATTAGATCATATTAATAATCAGCCTTTGAATAACTCAGTGTGTTCCATACACTAGAGTTTGGTAAGAATTTTTTTGTTGTTTTGTTGCTGAATTGGTCATCGAAGCATTTCTTATTATAATTAATGTTAAAAACAGTTGCTGTTTATTATTTGTATGTAAACCGTATTCTTTGATTGAATGGAAGTCATAACATTTATCATTATTTTCATGAACTTTTAACATACTGACCTGAAACTTTTAGTATGTTTCATATAAAAACTGTCGGACTAATTAAATTACAGTCTATCCAATTCAATTTTCATTTCAACAATTCTGGAGGATGTAGCCCATTGAAATCTAATTCCAATTGTGTGATGAAAAGTTGAAATTAATATGAATTTGCACAATGTAATATATTTAGAGCCTATAATTTGATTAAAATGGGGCTTTCACATCCTTATGAGTGCAGCTGTTTTGAGATGCATAAGAACCAAATGCAGCATTTTCTTGGCCTTGTTTCTTTGTGCGATTCCTTAATCTGTCTGTGTATGTAAAAGGGAGAGAGCTGCCGTTTCTCTTCTATTAAACTCCATGTCCCATCTGTCTCTGAAGAGTTTGACTAAAAATACCACACAAATGTGCGTTTCCATATCTCTCATTCATGGTGAAGTGTTTCTGTGCTTGCTCTTAGAATAACCAACATGAGCACATAAAGATTTGATCTTTTCTGACAGTTTGAAGAGGTTTACCAAGTCAAGCAGCTGCGGCTATAAAATACATCTCATATGAGATGACATCTGTGAGGTTTCTTATAAAGACTAGATGATTCTGAGAATTACTTATTTCTGCATTAACTTATTTAATAGACTTGTACCCCAGAAATGATTGTTGTGGTATTTGGAGATTTTTAATGGTTTGCTTTAAAGGTTTTTGTGCTACATTTCATTGAAATAAATTCCACTTGGTCTGATATTTTGCAAGTCCAAGTCATTTTTGGAAGACTGTATATTTAATAGCTAAACAAGTGCTGTGTCAATCAAATCCATGTATCTCAAAGACTCAAAGTGTGTTGTGGTTTACATTTGTCCCTCCGGTCTGAAATAATAGGAGCTCTGTTCTGTATCTATAAATACTTATAGTTGGTGGTCTCTCCTGCCTCCCTTCCCATTCCTCCCTGGGCAAAAGACTTGCAAAAACACTGGAATTAGATTGGCTTCAAGTTAGTTATCAGACTCCCCACAGTGTTTGAATGCTCACCCACACATTTAATCCTCCTGATTATTACACGGGCCGCCCATGTGTGACGGGCAAAAGTTTAGCCCAAAACACATCGAGGCAGGTGGAGAAAAAAGTTACGTAGACTTGTCTCTTCGTCTGAATTTAATTAATCAGATGTTAAAACTGTTGAAATTTTTCTTTTGGATTTTACAATAAATAGTTCAGTTGAGGTATGAGAGCACATTACATAAAGGAGATGAAAGAGAGGTTTTAATTCTGGGGTGAACTATCACTTTAAAGATTACTTCGATGATGTCTTTTCTACCTTTCTGGGGTTTGAAAGTGGCAGTTGTGTTCGTTTTTAATGAAGGGGAAAGAAAGCTCTTCGATTTTATTAAAAAAAGATCTCCATTTGTGTTCTGAAGATGAATGAATGTCTTTGGAACGACATGAGGGTGAGTAATTAGTGTCAGAATAAATTTTTTTTAGGTGAACTGTCCCTTCAAACACAGAGATTTAAGTCATTTTCTTCTGAAAGTTTACTTAACTGATGATGTAGAGGTTGTAAACTCTAGATAAAGTTTAGCTGAGAATGCATTATTTTCTGTTTGTCTTGCTGCTCAGGGACCTCTCGGCCTTATGCAGATAGACAGCTGCTTTTTTGCTACGACTCGATACTATAGTACTTTGAAATTATGAAGTGAAGTACATTCAGAAGAAGCAGATGCATGCTGAAGACTATATGCATCGGTGCAGAGATCTCAGTGTTTCACCCTCTATTCAAGCCAAAAGCCTGGGGCCATGGTCTCTTTAAAGCAGGAAGCTTTCTGAAAGGAGCTGGCTGAAAATGCCAGTCGCTTAGGACAGCGCCACATCTCTGGTGCCGCTCAAGGGATTCAACTATAAGCTTCCACAAAGACTCTGCTTCAAAGCTCAGGAAAGACACAGAGTTAGTGAACAATCCCCTGCAGAAACAACAAGAATGATTCAGTGTGGCCGCTACTAAACAAGAGACTAAAACCAACAAAGCAGGAAATGTCTGCATTGTGCCCATTCAGATGAAAATGGATAGGTGTGCACAAACTGGCAAAGTAATTTGCCCAACAATACAGCGTTCTGCACAAGGCACCTTGATTGTTAAAACCACTGTGAGATTTAACAAAAGAAAAGCTGCTAAATGCAATCAGGACGTTGTCTTCAGATGGACAAATGTACCGTTGAACATACAACTGAGCTGTTTTCCTTCAAAAATGACTCCCATTCAAAGCCTAAAACCTTACTCTGTATTTCTCACCCTCTCTCTTCTGAAGTTTTTAAAGTGCCAGTCTTTCCATCTCTCTGAATAACATTTCTTTATTGAGGCACGAGGCAGGGAACTGCCCTCATCAAGCGTCCTTTCAGCACGTTCCAACTGGGACATGACATCCTGTCCCTGCCACCCTGTCCAAAAATAAGCCAGTGTAGCATTTGTGTCTGGACAGGTCTGTGAGCTGAACGCTCACTGAGGAAAGTGAGATGTTTATTGATGCTTTAAAATAAGTAACCACCCAGTGTGATGGATTTCTTTGTAAATAATGAAATGGTCTGTGACTTGATGTCTTAATGTTAGGGGTGTAACGATACCCTCGTGTCACGATTCGATACTTATCATGATACGATATTATCATGACAAATAATAAAAGCTTAACAAAAAAAATTTACTGTTGATTAAAATGCTAAATTTTAAATTACATTGTGGGATTAAATGAATAGGTTTGGACTTGGTGCTTGTAACCCAAAGACAATGGTGACACCAGAATAAAAAATATTCATGATTCTGAAGCTGAAAAAAAGAGAATAATTTTAGATGAATATGCTTGCACTTTTTCACTGACTAGATATATTTCAAATAAATGTCAGGTAAGATCAGACATTTGGCATTTCAGGACCCACAAATATTCCTCCATATACATTATAATCGACATTATATATAGTAGTTTAATGGAATACTGACACTCTGAAAACTTATTTTTTCTCACACAGTAATTTTTATTTTGGGGGAACAATCCACGATACCTATTTTTGTATTGCAATATGTTGTGGCACGTGCTATTGTTACACCCCTACTTAATGTGCTTATTGAAATTGCATTTTTTTTCAGAGCAGTGACTGTTTTGTGAATGTTTGTCTGTCTATAGGAAATGAGAAGACATGTCATACAGTATATATGTATTTGTTTTGACCTTAAGTGTTTCCCACAGGCTAGTTTACAATTTCACTGCTGGTGAGGATTTATGTACAGTGGCCTCAATGGAATTCATACATTTTAAAGTGTCCCAAAAGTGTCCTTTTGTGGCTCTTGCCAGCTTTATTTTGGGGACAAATTTGTAAGGTGTCTGAACCTCCTTTTCTGGATGTCCTCTAAAGGAAAATTGCAAATAATTTTTTGTTGTTGTTGTCGTCGGTAAAACTGCTTGAAGAGGTTAATTTTGCTTTGGTTTGACTTTAGTATTTAGTATTTTAACTTTGAGCGTTCTGTTAATAATCCTGAAAAAATGTATTTTGGGTTTCTAATAACTGATAAGAAATACTTCCTGAGCACCAAAGCAGCATATTATGATTTCTAAAGCTCATGTGACACTAAAGACTGGAGTAATTGCTCAAAATTAAGCTTTGGCTGTTGCTCTTGTAGTTACTACTAGATCAAGTCAGTATAACCCTCCCTAGTCAGTATATTATAATAGAGAATATACATCATATTTTCTAGATATGGTTCAGTTAAAGATTTTGTTATCCATTTCATCATCCTCATGGAAGAAATCATCAATCTGAAGTAATAGCACACCTCTCCTCAGCACTCTACATGATTTTTGAGGCATCCTTCAGTTCATAATGGATGAGTTCCACTCCTAGGAATAGGAGTTTAAAAAACAATAGACACCTGTGCATGTTGCTAAACTCTTGTGTGCACATCTTTTACATTCTGCTGTATTTGTCTTTTTCAGGCACTGCAATAGCTCAACTGACAGATGTGTCTGGTCTGGAGCAGTGTGAGGGTGACGGGCGCAGCACGGTGTTTAGTGACAGGACTGGCATGGTGAAAGCTGCTCGCATGCTGCTCTCCTCCGTTACCAAAGTCCTGGTGCTTGCAGACTGCATCGTTATCAAACAGATCATAAGCTCTCGCAACAAAGTACGTATTATTGTCTGCTGTGTCCATGTACTTGTGCTCTGGCCTTTACAAGCACTCTTATTTTCCTGTCAAGTACACATCTGCACACAGGCTAGCCTTTGCTCTCTGATGCTATCACTGCATGGCCACAGAGGAATACTTAAAGTCCTGCTGCTTTGGAGATAATTGAAGAGACACACAGGATAAATTAGGAGGCCTGTCTAAACATCCATGTCGGTGAGATGAGGAAGTGGGCAGTGTTTATGTGTGTGTGTGTCTGTTTGTGCTCTCAGATCTGGAGCTATAATCATGTCCAGTTAGTGATGTTTGGACAGCCAGGCAGCAGAACAGCTCTCCATTACAGAGAAATACAATTGAATTTGTCCCTGACCATGCTTGATAACGCCCACTCCTAGCTAGCTAACCTCAAATAGAGGCTGCTCTTATCAATTTTCTCCAACGTGAGCATCTCGGACTGCCTCCGCTGAGCTTCTCGGTACAAATAAGAGTTTTTTTCCCACAGTTTCTGACACTTTGCTCGTTAAGCACAGTTTCTTCTTGTGTGACTCAGCATGTATGACCACTATTAATAAGTAATTTAAACATGGAATGAGATTTTAAGAGTCTAAGGTTTTTTTTGTCTCATTTCAGAGTAAAACCAACTATTTTACAGAACTGATGTAACTATATTTTAACTATTTAGACACTTAAAAATATATCTGATGCTGTGTCCGAAATCACGTACTGTATAGTAGGTACTACACTGTAAAAAAATGATCTAGGAAGCATAATTCAATGAATTCACTCCAATTAAAGTCAACTTTTGCTCAAATACTTTTGTTCCTATGAGTAACGGGTAGTCTTTTGGACTTTGTTTTGCATTAGCAAACAAAATTAGCAATTAGTACAGAAGAGTGTTTCACATTTAGCAATATAAGGGGCTACAATCCTTGTTCTTTCTTCTCCATGTTTGATTTTCAAAACTAACCACATGATATGCACATTATTTGCATATATATATATATATATATATAATAATTATTATTGTTATTATAAATAAAAGAACCACATTTATTTATGAACTTGGAATTTGGAACATCACTGGTTGCATGACACTTTCTCATTTCCAAAGAAACAGATAAACACTTGGAAAACCTTTTTTTTGTAATAATCATGAAGCCATAAGAAAGTACATTTATATATTTATGTGATTTTACTATCCGTGAGATTAAATGGAGCAAAATTAGTTTCTTGCTTCTCAGATCCCTTGTAGTCTATAGAGAGCTCATACTGTTTCACATGCTGTGCTCAAATTTGCCACAGTGTCTCTATGCTCCTACTGTTTATCAACAGTTGTCTCAGTCAGATCTATTTTTATTTCTTGTTGAGAACATTAGGACAGACATCTGAGATAAAGCTCATCCCTAAATAAAGCACAAACATCTCCTGAGTAATGAAAGCAACCTTTACACAATTCATTTTTTTTTCTGTTGCTTTATTTGTAAATACGTGGGTTATACGCCTTTGTGCAGGTGCTGGTTACCCTGGAGCAGCTGGAGCGAGTCAGCACTTTTCAGGAATTTGTCCAAATCTTCAGCCAATTTGGGAACGAGATGGTAGAGTTTGCCCATCTCACGGGAGACAGACAGAATGTAAGCGCACACACACACACCCTCGACTCACCCTCCATCATTCTTTCACTACACTTCACAGCAGGGGTGGACTGGGACCAAAAATTGTCCCTGGACTTTCTGTCCCACAGCAGCTCACCACGGCTCATTAATGTTCACAATAGTTTTTAAAAATACATGTATACATATATTCAAAAATACATGTATACATGTATTAAAAAATACAAAAATAAATGCTATTTAAACATTTATTTTAAGTAATGTCATATTTGTAAAACAAAACAAAGAGAAACAAACAGAATAACACTAAGACAAAGAAAACTATCAAAACAGCAAATCAGCTAGGGGGATCATCTTGGTGCAGTGTAAGATACACCACCTAGCAGTGATGCACCACTCAGCTGTACAATTAATATTAAAATATTAAAAATATTTTATGTTTTTGAAAATATATTCGGCAGAGTTTTATAAGGAGGAGGAGAAGATAGCTTGTGAGTGTGTGTGTACATTTTAAATGAGCTTGTGTATGTATGAGAAACAGAGTTTGTGTAGATGAAGAAGAGATTAAATGATTCCTTTGAAGGAGACAAATCAGATTAGGGATTATTCAGCATTATCTGTAATACATATCTGTTAGTGTAAAGTACAAAGCAAATAGCTAAAGACAAATAATATGAATACTCATAAAACCTGCCCAAAGCCACACGGACAAAAAGGTCAACAAAGCTACAAAATCTAAAGGTTAGTAGCTAATTTAAATTTCTCACAAACACTATCACATGCAAATTATCTCATTTTAAACATTAGAGAATCATCAAAAAGATGTCAATAAGTTATGTAATTATTAAGTTAAAGTTTTAAAACAAAACAAGGAACTCGTTTTTGGCCGAAAACGATATTGGATAGTTTAAATTTTTTGTTTTAATGCTCGGAACAACTTTCCATCTCCACCTTTTCTTTTCTTCCCCATTTGATCCATGGACAATAATTTGTAATTATCTGTTCCGAGAAGTTCTTTGTAACAGATAAATCTCTCTCTCTGTAAATTACACGTGAAAGGGGGCGTGTTTCAAGATACGCAATGGAGTAGACCAAACTAACAGGGAGGGAAGGCAACACACTCACATGCACACAAAACACCCCACACGCGCCCACACGATCGACTCTCTCATCCTTTTGCGTAGAAAAGAGATGTAAAATTATGATTTTCGATTTTTTTTTATTTATTTTTTTATATATATTTTTGTGTACCGGGTGTGCCGACCCACCGGGAAAAGTCCCAGTGCTCCAGATGCCCAGTCCGCCCCTGCTTCACAGATAGTCAAACACTGATAAGGATACTTCCTATGGCAGATTTGTAGAGCTCCTTGTAGATTTACACAATACATGAGGGGTGAGGGGGAAGATAATGGAGGTATTTAAGTTTTATGTAATGAACTGTGCCGCACACTACAATTGTAATCAGCAACTCCTAAACCCCATTGATAAAAACCTTTGGGGTAAGATACACTCGACCGCAATGCAGAACCGATGGGTTTTGGCAAACGGTAGTGGTGCAATATAACTCTCATCAGCATGTGTTTGCAATGCAAACATATGCAAGATCAGGGAATTGTACTGTTCGTATGAATTAGTACTAGAAAGTTTTTATACTCATTTTATACTTCATTATCAATGCTCTGTTGGGGAAAAAAACACATCATGGATGCATATGGTCACGCTGGTTTTTTGAACATGGTATCTGGTTTGCTGCTGGGTTAAGATTGTGTCTCATATCAAACCACTTTAGATATGGGATTTGTCAAGGGCATATGCTAATGTTAATACATGGATGGATCAAAGGGTTTCAAAATGGGGTCCACATGGCTGCTAAAGGAAAATGTTAATAATGTGAGAAAAAAATAAGTAAAACCAATATTTTTTTTGTTTACTACTGTTTGCTTTCTGTAGACTGACATTCGTGAGATTGATTGCAGTTCATTTTAAAGAATAATTAATTGCATTATATTAATTTCCATATTTTTAAAGTAAAAAAAAGTATTTTTAGTTTTATGTATTTTTTATCAATTTATTTAGAAGTACATTATTAAAAAAAAAGTTTATATTGTATTCAGTACAATTTTCCAAATACATTTGAATGTAAATAAAAATATGTTTTTTTTTTATCACAGTATTCTAATAGTCAATAGAATGAAGATACACTGCCAATTTACTTCAGCATACATATTTACCAGATAATAGTTATTTGGTAAATATCAAAATGACTCGGCATAAAAAAATTGAAAAGCCCTGTTCTATAGAGTAGGCTGGTATCCAAAAGTGTGCGAACACTGCTGTCAATATCAAATTGGTCCAAAATTGGTCATGTCCTGACATTTGCTCTATTGCTACGTGAAACCATATGAAACCAGCCACATTCAGAAACTGGTTTCTTTGATCTTTCCAGCAGTGCATGGCTGTTTCTCCTTCTGAGGCCCCCTCCGAGGTCCCATCATGATTAGGAAAGTAGCAATGTGAATACAAATGAAGCCAAGAACTAATAGGAAAGGTTTTCTCATTTTAAACAGGAATCACTATATGTGCTTGATAACGTTTCACAAACACATCACGCTCCTATCTCTGCAGAGCTTTCCTGCCGATCTGCGGCCTCCATCTTTTCAGTTTTATTCAGAAGAACATAATAACAGATAATCACTTCTCCTTTTGTGAGCTCAGCCAGGGTGAGAGAGATCAGGTTCTTCTCATTCTCTCCGTCATGCACACACAGAGTCTGTCAGTCACAAATCCCTAATGCCTAACGGCGCGTTGAGTGAGCGCAGCTCTATTGAGTTATATTCCAGCTCTCTCAGTGTCGGTGGAAGGCATTATGTCAGTGCTATCTCTTCCAAGGACCATTCTCAGCTAGACCTTGGTAAATGAACTCTTAGAATGAGAGTTCTGTGGATCTCCTGACAGGCTGCGCCATATGGTTAATATTCATGACAAGTGCTCTTGATTTGCTGAACAAATTTGAGTTTTATTAGTCAGTGAAATGAGTTTTATAAGCACTTTGTGGGAATCATAACTGAACTAAGTTTGTAATACAGTTTAATTCCAGTCTTGTTTGTTGTAAGTAAACAATTTATTCTCTCTATAAAGTCAACTGAGGTTAAACCTTAAACCGAGATTTCAGAAAGCTCGAAAGCACTTGAGGCATTGCGTGTTTTCTCATATTTGTCTTGTATTTCCTGTTTTCCTCAGGATCTGAAGGATGAAAAGAAAAGAGCTCGGATGGCCGCTGCACGTGCTGTGCTGGAGAAATGCACCATGATGCTCCTCACAGCCTCTAAGGTGGGATTGTGGAAGAGAGTACCATCTGCTGTCTAAAAGATGTTAATATAGGATCAACAGTTCTTATGCTATAACCACGCATACTTACACATTTATGCATAAAACTTCTTCTCAACACCTTTAATCAGCAAATCATTTCTGGTGGCCTTACAAAGACTAGATACATTTGAATATAAATGTATTTTACTATTTTAAAAGTTTGGGTTTTTTAAAGAAATTAACTTTTTATTTTACATTGATGTATTTAATTAATCAAACCTGACAGTAAAGATGTTTACAGTGTTACAAAATTTTTCTGTTTCAAATAAATGGTGTTCTTTTGAACTTTCTATTTATCAAAGAATCCTGAAAAAAATATCATGGTTTTCACAAAAATATCAGGCAGCTGATTTTAACGTTTATTAATAACATTAATTAATAAATGTTTTTTGAGCACCAAATCAGAATATTACATATGTAATATTTCACAATATTACAGTTTCACTGTATTTTTTTTATCAAATAAATGCTGCCTTGGTGAGACTTCTTTCAAAAACATAAAAATAAAAAACGTAATGACCCCAGTCATTTGAAAGGTAGTATATATAATAAAATAATACAGTGTATATATTAAAAATTTTGCATGAGAGTAAGAAAAGTTGTATGCAATTATTATTGAATGAGAGCCAGACCTGACTTGAACTGTTCATTGTTAACTGTTAATTTGATGGTTAATTGTTTTTATTTTAAGTCATTAAGTTTGTTTTTACCTCAATATTTCTTTCCTTACTCTGGGAAAAAAATTAAGTGCAAAAACACCCTGTTCACATGTCAAATTTGTCACCCACACTTCTGTTGTCCCTCTGCATTTGGAAGATAATTTTTGTCCCTCTTTTCCTCTCAGACTTGCCTGAGACATCCAGACTGCGAGTCGGCACGGATCAACAAAGAAGCAGTCTTCCAGCGTATGCGTCTGGCCCTGGAGCAAGTCATTGAGATTGTGACTGACACGAGGAGCGGTGGGGAGGCCAAAGCACTTCCTGTCAGCATCTACGCTGGGATTAAAGACTTTAAGGTGCAGGTGTAGGCCAAGGGCTACAGTTTCTCTTTTAAAGTCAGACTTCTTTTAAAAGTACTGCTTGTTGTCCAATCAGTCAAACAATACACTTATAACAGTTACTGTTTAATAAGGTTTTCCTTAATGAAAAAAAAAAATACTTTCATGAGCAGCATGTAGTTTTAAATGTATAACAATACAAAATAAATATTTCACTATATTACGAGACAATACCACTTTATCAACCCTTTAAGCACCAAAGCCAAAGTAATTTGTATTCCCTACCATAAGATGGCAGACATGTAATACTTCGATTCAAGATTAAAATAATGACGTCATGTTCCTTTTCAAAGTGTTGGAGGAAACGGCAGAGCAAGTGAGTGATCGTGTCATTGATGCGGAAGAAGTTCAGTTCAGAGCGTCTGAGTAAATTGTGAGAGAAAATCGTCAAATGGCTAATAAAAACTTGTACCGTGAGGATGTGTTGCAAATTTTATTCGCCGATTCTGACTCTGAAGGGGAATATTTGCCTTTTGTTAATGACGATCAGCCGTCTAATGATCGCACTTCTCCTGGTACATTTTTGCAATAGTGCCGCCCGCGCCTCTCCCGGTACATCTTTAACGCGCAATGGTGCCGTGCGCGCTTCTCCCGGTACGTCTTTGTCGCACAATGGTGCCGCGCGCGCTTCTCCCGGAACATCTTTGACGCGCAATGGTGCTGCCGCTCAAGGCACGAGTGTTCACGAAGCACAAACAGATAATTTTGACCATTTACTGTTGATTTCATTCTTGGTTTTCCTTTTTTTTATTTTTTCCTGAATATTACTGATGAACTGATCAAAAATTAGGCTACTGTGTTTTACTACTAAAGTTTTGTAATATACTGTGGTAATAATTTAATACTTTCTCCTATTTTATTGTTGGTTTCCTCTTTTCCGATCATTTGGAATGAGGATTAAAAAAAAAGAAAAAAAGCATGTGAATAAATTCCAACATCAATTCAATATCTACTATTTCCTGAATATTACTGATGAACTGATTAAAAAGTAGGCTACTGTTTACATGCATTTTGCTAGTACAGTAATAATTTAGTACTTTCTCTTGTTATTGTTGGTTTCCTCTTTTCTCATCATTTGTAATGAGGATAAAAAAATTAATAAATAAATAAAACATGCAAATAAGTTCAAACATCAGTTCAATATCTACTGTTTCCTGAATATTGTCAAATTCAAGATGGCCACCCCCTGATTACATCATAATATGCATATTAGATGACTATATTTACACCCCACATAAACTTTCAGTCATCGCCAACATTTTTCTAATTTACACTAGATCTCTATCTTTAAGCCCTTTCAAGCCCTTTAATTTTTATGTCAAAATCTAGCATTTTCTCAAAAAACAAAACAAACAACTTGGCGCCTAAAGAGTTAATCTCCAGAGGGAAATTAAGGTGTTACCTCAGCACAAACCAATCAAATATTTAAAAATAAAAATGTCTACAAACAAAGCAAATATAAATGTTAAGCATGCAACAATGCCATGTAAAAGACTATTCATTATCACTAAGCAATACCTCAAATCCTAGTATGTTTATATATGATAAAATTAAGAATAAACTCATTTCAAACATTTGATGCATTGCATTTCTAAATTGCTGCCAGTATAAAGACCAATCAGAAGAAATGATGACTGATTTGACTGATTCTGATAATTGTTTTAATGTTATGGATGGCTTGAAACAATTAAATATCTTAAATAATATAAAGATGCAGTTGCAGATGCAGGAACTGAAATGTCTTGCAGCACTAATCTCAATATCTTACCAGATGTATGTGTGTATATATGTGTTTCAGGTTAAAGTGGAGGGTCTGAGAGACTCTATGTACGGTGTGTCCTGTGAGGCAGTTGCGGCTCAGCTGGAGGCTCTGGTAGAGAAAACCGAAGACTTTACAGACTCTGCCTACACCAGCCACGAGCAGAGAGAGACAATCATACAGCTCTGCCAGATCACACGTCAGGAGACCAAACAGCTCATCAACACATGGAGACATGCGGTAAGACACATACACACATTAGGGATTGCACCAACTAGTAATTCACCGCATGACTTGAGTCTCACTTGATGGTGACAGCAGGGGGGGAAACTTCACAAATTGCATCTCAGTTAGTTAACAAATTAAGAACATATTTAACATTACAGGAAAATTTCTCTAGTACCGACACCTGAATCCATTTAATAGCTGTGCAACATGTTTGTGTACTATACTTGCTCTCGCATTCATATATTAACGCACATTTTTTTCTTGGCTTGTATATCTGTCATTCATTTCTTTGTTGTGCAGTGTTTAAAGAATGTTCTGCATGCCTCCCCTCCTGTGGAGTAACTGTCCCTGAACCTCATACACTGGGAAAAAGCCCCGCGGTGCAGTTACTTGAATAAGAATATTCTTATGCCATGTTCTCCTTCACTGTGTAGCACACAGAAAAATCGATGTTCTTTAAGATGAAATATGGACTTTGTGCATAGAGGTGACTAAATATTCTTATGTCTTTAAAATATAGAGGGATGAAAAGAAAGGAAAAGTATAAAAAAACGCACACTGTAATGGTTTAATAGCAAGGTTGATATTACTTACAATAGTATTTATTGCTATACACTGAATGGCTTGTGAAAGCAAAACTCTGCTCAAGGAAAAAGATTTTTACAGGAAATTGTAAACTTCTTTTCAACTTTACATTTGGAAAAATTGTGGTGTTAACTTTTCGTAATTCTTATGCATTTGTGCAAAGCAACTTCCTGTGACATTACTTGCTTATTTCACCTGCGAGTGCCAAATGTTATAAAGTAGCCCAGAATGAATATATATTTAGCGGTCCAACAGTCGTGGAAAACCTGGATATCAGGGAATTTAAAGTTATTATTTCCCACGCCTATAAATAAAATCAATAAAGTCAAGGAAAAAACCTTGAGATTCTAGTAGTATAATTTTTTTTCTAGTCTTGCTCAAAACTATTTTGTATTCTAGACATTTCTCTTGGCTATGTAGTAAAACTTGCTCATTTTTGAGCCTTTTAAAGTGATGGTTCACCCTCATATTTTCTCTCATCCCTTTTTTTAATCAAAATTTAAATTCTCTCATCATGTACTTACCCTCATGTCATCTCCAAAGTATATGACTTTCTTTCTTCATATAAACGCAAATGAACAGTTGAGTCCATAAAATGCCATGCCATTGAATGGATGCACAATTATTGTTTCGCTTTGAATTCAACTGAATTGAAATCATTTCTTTTTTACAAATTCAGTGGTCACACTCACAACTGATGTAATGTATTGGTCAAAATGTGTGGGGCACCTGAAAATACTTTAGACACAAAAGACCAATCATCTGGATTTTCAAAGGCCAATTCAATATCTAGAGAACTGGCAGATAATGTGCATACAAGTGTTTCATTACAAAAATGAGTAATTTAGAAACTGTTTGACTAATTACTGCTGCTTACTCATAGTACAGTAAGTAAGGTCGTTATTGTAGTGGTTATGTTTAGGTATTGTGTAGGATTAAGGGATGTAGAATATTTAATAACATAATAATTTATACATAATATTTAATAACATTTATTTGTCATATTTGCTTGTTTTCTCATGTAGTTTTTCTAATTAAACTGTCCAATTTCCTAGTTTTCATTAGTTTCAGGCTATATAGTTGAGGCAAAAAATGTGATCTTCATCACAGCTGATTCTGGCCAAGAATCGCCCACTTAAAGTGACAATTTGTTGTGTTTAACTTGTTATTTATCAAAATAATATATAATTGTGTGGAAATGTGAAAGAGTCCTTTAAAATTATAGACACTGATTACTGATTTTTTTTATTTTTTTTTTATTTTTTTTTATTAATTACTATATTCCCAAATGTAAAATATACATCCTCAACCCAAACCATCAAAAACAACAAAGTGAAACATACACTTCTGCTTGTGGATGACTGGTTGACTAGTTTTCCGACAAAACTCTAATGCCAATCTTGCAAACTTCAAAACACGTGATTTGTTGTTCTTCAAACGAAAATAGATTAAAACAAAAACCGGTATGCAATTCTGTAAGTTGCAGAAAACAAGCCAATCAGATTGGAACTGTCCATTTAAACAAACTCTTTACAAGTTTGAGTGCATCTGCCAATAAACAGACCATGAGCATGAGTTTTCATCACTCAAGCACTGCAGTTTGTTTCCTCTTTCTGTCTACCTAAACAGTCCTTGAGTGTTTACGATGGGGTTTGCTGTCATCAGCCAAAACTGATTTAGAGATGGTGTTGTTTTTACATCATAATATAAGGGTTGTTCCCCACTCTACCTGTCCAACATTTCAGTGACAGAAACATTAGGTGTGTGTTCACTGAAGTGCAATGACTGTTGCAGTCCCAGTGTGATGTATCCGAGTAAAGCATGAAGATGAGAGCGCTTCAAACATTCACATGGCTTGTGTGCCGTGTTTGTGTTGACATCCCACCGTAATCCCATCTGAAAGCAATCCCACCCACCTGTCTGCCTGTCCTCTGCAGAGAAAACCGCAGATAAAGACTGACATGTCTGTCTTTCAGGCTGCTTGAGCCACACTGACACTTGAAGGGCTCTTCAACATGGCTGGTGCCTTGTGCACTTTCGGTTGGTTGAAAATCATTCTGTTTTGCATTGTGTTAAGTTGTCTTTCTGTCTTTGTTTCTGTTTCTCTTCCCTTCCAGCAGCAATTGCTTAAAGCCAAAGAGGCCACAGATGAGATGGAGCTCTCTATTTTGAAGACTTGTCAGAGTGTCAGTGATCTCAGACGAGAGGTGAGATTCTTGTGACAAGCTATGCGCAGGGATTGAATCCCATGAGCCCATTGCAGTGTTTCTTATAGCGCCTCTGCTGAATTTACAGTGCCATGACAACTCATATTTGCTCAAGTTGTACATTTGTATTTGAATTGAATGCCATGAGTTAAGAATAAAATAAAGACTACATATCTTTCTATTGCATTGCCTAGACTGCAAAAACAAATTGGGACCCTGTAGTCTGATTCTTGAACAAATGGCCCCGTCCACACTACTGCGTTTTCGTTTAAAAACGGAGAATTAAAACAAATACGATCTCCGTCCACACCAGCGTTTTATCTGCGTATTAGAATTGACTGAAATGACTGAAAACACGGATCACGTGACCATTCACCAACACTGGGCATGCGTGTGCCGGTATAAACAGTGGCTGATAAATTAAGGAAGGTAGGTCCTGACTGATGACACCCAATCATAGAGCCAAGCGTGAGCTTCGTTTCTAAACTCCTCCGTTTTGTTCCGTCTACACGAAAACGCCCTCCGGAGATTAAAAACGCAAAACGGAGCTGCAGCGTTTCTAAACTTCTCCGTTTTAGGTCTTCGTTTTTTCCGTTTTATTCTGGACGGGAGGTGCAAACGTAGCAAAAGCTCTCAGTTTTTAAACGAAAACGCAGTAGCGTGGATGGGGCCTGAGGCAATTCTTTTAATGAATGGCTCAAAATACTGAGATATCAGAGTTAATTAATCATTTACTGAATCCATTTTGATAATTGACACATTTGAAGATGATTTGAAATGAAAATGGCTTTTTTATTGTTACTTAACAGAAATTATATACAGCCTTATTTGTTAACAGGGATTATACAAACGTAAAATAATGCTAAACAGACAACACAAAACAAATAGATAGTACAGATCAAACGGTTCAAAGAGGTTCCACAGTCAGAACAGTTTATGTGTAATTTAAAGTATTGTGTTTAGGGTCTTATTATAATGTGTAAAGGACATACCAAGACCCTATTTAATTAGTTTATTGATCTGGGGAAAAAATACAATTATAAATTAATTTAATAATATCAACCCTCTACAACGCGAGTAAATCACTTGCATATGCGACCAAATTTCACACTAGCCAAATGCTAGTAAATTGTACGATTTCAGCCACAGGCAAAAAAATAAGTTTAGCACAGATATGATTTCATCGCCTGCTGTCGCTTTGCTGAGAGCGCCATTTTTTCGTTTTCTCACACATAAGCACTCAACGTGAGAAAAAGAGGGGCGCACACATGAACTGACGCACTGGATCAAAATGCAGTGCTCAACAATAAAGACTGCCCGATGGCCAATAGTTGACGGAACTATCACTGTCCCGATCAGGCCAGTGCTGCATTGTTATGAATATTTATCTTTTGCAAGTATTTTTAAGCATTCAAGTGCAAGAAAACAGTACAAAGAGCTCAATTCGGTACTCGCTGTGTGAGAAGTTTCCGGAGTGCACGCTTACCGAATTGATTTCTATTTTCTCACAAAATTGTCAACATGCCTATATTGGGATGTATCCATAGTGCACATAGACACGCATAGGCGAGAGATGCAAGTACACAATTTCCCATGAAAAGCATCCCGCTTGGTCTAAAATATAAACACGTGTAACAGGCTTACCGTAGTGAATCAGGGTAAGACTAAAACATGTTTTGGAGGAAGGATAGATGGTGTATTGCATTAGTTTTGAATTATTATTGAATCTGTACAGTTGCTGCTTGTTGTTCATATAACAATAATGATTGTAAGATAATAAGTGCTTTAAAAAAACATTTAGTTATGTTGCTAAAACAACATTGTCTTGTATAGCATGTAATTAATACCAGGTCAATTCACTGGTCAGCCCACATTATTGCACATTTTCCCCTTTGTTTAGCTTCATAATGTAGCAGTGGGGAGGGCCACTGAACTACTGAAGCTGCATTCGGATCATCTGGTGCTGCAGGCCCTGAAGGCCTCGGGTGGGGATGGAAACCTGGAGGCTGTGGCTGACTATGCCGGCACACTCACCGAACACAAAGAGCAGCTGGTGGAGGTGACATGATTACATTATGACACAGTTAAAACATGTAATTGCAGGGCCGATTTTTACATTTCACTATAGGTTCAACTTTTAATTTCAACTTTGATTTCAGACTTGTCGTTTGCTCTGCCACATTTCGGGGACTGAGCCATTGGAGATCACCTGCATTCACGCCGAGGAAACTTTCCGTGTCATTGGTCCGCAGGTAAACAAAAGATAGGTTGTCTGCTATAAGAGTTGGAATCTGGCATCTCTGCTTGATAAACAGTATGTTACTTGGCAAGGCTTTCAGAGAGTTAAACTATATAGATTTTGTTAATAAAAACACTGAATATTGTTACTCGCCTTTTTTTTATTCATGCTTATTTTTCAAAAATCAACAATGCTTATTTGACACATTTTGTGCTCTGTTGTTGACTTTCCGGCTCTGATTACAGAAAAACAGCTGAGGCAAACACTTAGACACGCAGGCAAGAAAATAACTAAAATTGCTAAAATAGCATGAAAATTGCAATTAAAATGCATTTTCAGCGCACAGAGCTGGATGAAAAAAAAACTGAAGCATGCATTGAAATCATCTTTGCTGTTCAAGTCTCTCTTTTCAATACAAACAAATATCCCATTTCAAACATTCCTTGAAAAGGAAAAGGTTAGATTGGGCCAATATGCAGAATACAATATTTAACAGAGTATATTTGCAGTGCATTTCATCAGCACACTTTCATTAGCATATCTGATTGCATGGGGGAATGAGTGTTCTGAGAGAGTGTGATCTCACTCACCAGCCAATAATGATGAGGCCTAAAGTTGAGACAGCCAATAAGAGCACAGCAGGAGAGCAGCAGCTTCAGGGGTGCATGATAATGAGTTGCTTTATCAGTTATTCCAAAAGCCACAGGTAATTACCAGCTGAATCCACACCCTCAGCGGAGACCAGCTCTGCTTCGCTGTGAGTGTGTGTGTTTTTTTTAAACGTCCTCCCAGTAAGCTGTAAATCATAATTATGCAGTTACCGACAGAGTTTGATGCTGCATTTATGCTGTGGGACACTGTAGAGAAACCAACACTGAATATTGATATTTAGATGTTGCACAGGAGTCAAATTATGCTGTCACATAAAAATTACACAAAGTTCAAAAGTTCCCACCAAGGGTGCATTCATTTGATCAAAATAAAGCGAAAACAGTAAATATGACTACAATTTAAAGTATCTGATTTCTATTCTAATATATTTTAAAATCACATTTTTTTCCCGTGATGAAATAAATACAATTACTCCAGTTTTCACTGTCACATGATTCATATAAGCGTTCTTATATGCTGATTTGATGCTCAAAAACCATTTATTTTTATCAACGTTGAAAACTTGGAATAGGAACCGCATTTATTTGAAATAGAAATCTTTTGTAACATGTAACAGATGTCTTTTGTTACTTTTTTTAATAAGTATTTTTATTAGGATTTAAAATTTTACAAAAATGCAAAAGAAAACAAAATACATTTAGACGTATACAACTCAATGAACGATAATATCAGCAGAAACAACACGATGAATAATTATTGTCTTTTGTCACTTTTGATCGATTAAATCTTGTCCTTGCAGAATAAATGTAATAGTTTCTTTTAAGAAATCTTACTGACCCCAACATTATGGTCATGTATTTAAAAGTGTTGAGAAAGATCTTGAAAATAGTGTGCTAAAATCAGAGTGCTGTTTCCTCCCAATTTCTCCTCTCAGATCATCTCAGCGGCACAGACCCTTGCTTTGCACCCCACAAGCAAGATAGCCAAAGAAAACTTGGATGTGTTTTGTGAAGCCTGGGAGTCCCAGCTGTGCGACATGGCCATCCTACTGAAGGAGATCAATGATGTGTTTGAGGGCCGCAGAGGTACGTCAATCAAGCAGTTCAGTCTTACAAGACTACAAACTCGAACAGGTCCTTCCTCCAGCCCAAGATATGATTATGAAGCGCCCTTATGTCTTGTATGTTATCTGCATTTACCACACTACCACAGTACATACTACAGTATTGTAATCTGGCTTCTAAGGGTGCTTTGATTCCATTTAGTAGAAGTTATTTTCAGGTGAACAAAATGTATTTGCTCATGCCTATGGGCAGGGCAGCGATAGCAGTTTTTAAAGGTCTTTTTCCTCGTGGCCAGATTGCTATCTTTTCCATCCGCTAAAGATGTGCGGCTTTGACATTTACACTGCATCCACATCCCTCACATGAGGTAATTGAATAGAGACTGGATAAACCTCTGTAGGCAAGGTTATGGGCGCACTGCAGCGGTCCCACTGAGATTACAGGTCTGTCTGTGAAAGTCCTTTCGCCCATCTTTGGACATACCGCTCAAGGATGTGTTTTGAGCGATGGTTTTCTCATGGAAGGAACAATATTTATCAGAGTTTGAAGGAAGGCATCAGTAACATGACAGAAATCCGGTGCCTGGGGAGATGTTTTGTTCCAGATGAGAGATTCCCAGTCATCATCAGTGGCAACCAAGATATTTCCCATACAAATCGTCACCCCCCAAGATCATGCTTTTGTATCTGTTCATCCACATCATAATACACAGGCCAGACGTACATTTGAATCATGTTTAATAGGGTTCTGTTGGCATATTTTAATGTTATAGATATTTTTGGTCGTAATACATAACATGTCTACCTCATTTTAGGTGATAAGAAAACATATCTGTCTCTTCCGAGACCAGGGGTGAGTCTCGCAAGCAATTCTTTTATTTGATTTTATTACAAATTTCCCTTTCCATATCATGTCCTTCATTATATTTACTGATTCATCTATTCTCTAGAAACACTCTGCTAATCTGAAGACAGTCAAGGCTGCCAAACTTGATGCTGAGGTACAATTTCGCAGAATAAAATATTATGTGACGAGAAGTTGGATTAATGTTAATTAACTGGGTTGAAAATGTTCCATCATGCTCTATTTTTGACCTTATATGTAATTTTTGTCCTGCAAATTATATAGCTGTTTGTTTGCCATTCCATTTCTATATGTAGATTACAATAAGTGTCTGTAATGACCTGGACTTGGAAAATAATTAAGATTTAAAGACCTAAAATGGACAACTGATAAGTATAAGTGTGATAAAACAGGATTATTTAGTTTTATTTATACATTTTGTCCAAAAATTATTTCATTTTAAAGTCAAAACTACAAATCATTGCATCTTTTAGTCTTAACATGCAGTGTTATTTTAATATATCATTTTTTTATATTTATAATATTTAGATATAGTACTTAATATATTGAATTTGCTTTAATATTTATGTTTTTAGTTTCATTATTATTGCAATTTTAAGTTTTACTACTTTTGATCGATTCAGGAGCAAACCACTATTGCTAAGCTGGGGCTGGAACTGTGTCTCCTCACCTCAGATGTGGACTCCGAGGTGGAGCGCTGGGACGAGCAGGACCATGAGATTGTTCGACTGTGTCAGATCATATCCAGCATGGCGTATTCCATGTACCTCTTCACCAGGTAACTCTCTTTTCATAAACTTTATAGTCAGATTACCAGATTGGTTCAAGTAGTGCTATATTACACAGGAAATTAAGCACAGTGGCCCTCATTTATCATTCTTGTGTAGAAACAGGCGTATATGTTGGCGTAAGATTATGCTTACACTCCTCTGACGTGAAGCCAAAATGACCTATCACAATGCATTTTTTTAAAGCATTTGTTTTGAAACAATTAGCAATTACTTTCGTAACACGTCACATGTATTGGGGTGTACAATAGTGATGAACATGATGATGATGATGACATTAATAATTGCATGACAATTTGTAATATTCATCTTATTATAATGATTTTTATTATTAATGACGCTTATCGTTATTTAGAAGAATGTCATTGTTGTTGTTATTATTATCATTAATATTTAAAAGAAGAAGAATGTCATTTTTATTATTTTGTCAGTTTGAATTATTTTTTGGTCATTGAAAGCCTTTCATTACTGAACCCAGTCCATACGTACACCACCTCCTGAGCTGGCGTAGAATTTGAGCCGTACGCCAACGTCCATATTGATAAATCTCAAAGTCACCATGGTTTTGGGTGTACGCCAGGTGTATGCTGGAAATTTGGCCCTCTTTTGATACATGAGGGCCGATGTGCTGGAACGTGGTTTCTGAAAAATGCCATGTTGTTGTTAATCTGCACTCTCTGTCAACCTACACAATCAGTTTTATGGATCTTCAAGGATGTTTTATTAACTCTGCTGTTTTTCCATCTGTGATTTAGGGGGGAAGGCTTGCTAAAGACAACTTTGGATCTATTCCACCAAGCTGAGGTAAGCCAACATTCATAGGTTTTTTAATTGAATCTGTTCGAGGTGTCTTTAGGAGCGATGAGTCCCCTGGAAAATATGGATCAGCATATTATTAGAGGGGTCAGCTGTCATTTTTCTGTGAGATACTGTGATCCAGAGCAGGTTACAGTATGTGCTGTGAATGTGCTAGGAAATGCTGATTAGGCAGTGTGTCTTTCTATTAGCGGAGGGTACACTGACCTCCACCCAAACACACACTTTCCTCTTAACACCCTCTTATCGGACAGAGCAAGCCTGCTCAACATCACAGTAGAACAGCACTGCAAAGTTCTCTTAAAGTGCCTCATTATGCTTTTCTGGATATTACCTTTCATTCAGTGTGTAGTATAGCTGTTTGTGTATGTAAGAGGTCTGCAAAGTTTCAAACATCTAAGTGCACGATAGTTAGAGTTATTACCTCACCAAATACATTTTTATAGAAAAAATAAAGAATCGATTCTTAACGGCAAAAATGAGTCATCAATAATTACATTCTTACTTCCCATATGAACCTAGGTAGGTTTGTAACAAATCATTATAATGGCAGCCTATGGTCTTCATTGGCTGCCCGTGAACAACATCTACTTTGACCCGCCCTCAAGCACAATAGTTGTAGCTGAGGCCTGGAAGAGTTTGTTTCGGATTGTCGACATTTTGGGAAAGACGCTGTTTTCTGCGCTGCGAAAGCAAATCCACTTTGTATGGACTTCCAAAGGAAGAGGATTTGCGTGCGAATTGGTTCGTATCGCTGGGTATACAAGTGCTAATTAAACGTCCGTAGCTAAAATTCAGATATGGAAATGGCTGTTTGCTTTCTGACATGCACTTTTAACCATTTCAGACACAAAATATAGCTGCGAGCAGCGATGGCGGGCCCAAGCCGGAGGCACCGCAACCCCGGTTCCTTTAGTTACCTAAAGGCACCCGGGTGGCGGTGCCGAAGGCTTTGGCCCTTTCATGATTAAATGTTAAAACGGCTTGCCATACTCTGTCATTTTGACTAGTCACAATTATGTTACAGATATCTTAAATGATAATACAAACTATCCAAAGTGTAACGACTAGACAGAAAGACGTTGTTGATATCTACAATGTTAATTCCGGATAGGCAAACTTAGCTTTTAAATGTTAAAAGGGCTTGCCATACAGGGACGTAGGCTCAGAGAGAGGCTCACCATATTCAGACCAAAATATCTGACTTCCTCTTGGTCCGAGCTAATGACTATGTATTAGAAAGTTGTACGGCTTGAGGAGTACAATGTATATACCGATTTTTGTAACTGTAGATAAAACTAACAACCCCACTTTAAGTATATATATGGTGCTTTAGTGTTATTCTGCACGACGTGCAAAAACTTAACCCCCGCTTTTTTAAGTATATATATATATATATATATATATATATATATATATATAAAGAGGGTTATTCTGCACGACGTGCAAAAACTTAACCTCCGCATTGACTGTCGAAGAGAAGTGTGCAGAAGAGCTTGCATCAGTGAGGGCTTTGCAAAATATATATACATACAAACACACACACACACATATAAATGAGGTTAGTGTTTTACAATATTAAGGAAAGCAAATGTATTGAAATATAGCACATTAATTTTAAATTCATTCAGCTTCAATTACCAATTTGTAGTTTACCAATTTATCTTACTTTTATTTAAAGCAAACTATACATTTAAAAGATTAGGGTTATATCCATATTTTGTCATTTAAAAAAATACAAAATTGTTATGCAAAAAGATAAGGACTTGCAGAAAAAATCTACAGTCAGCCACACACACACACACACACACACACACACATAAACGCAGACACCAGCAACCCCCCCCCCTCCCTCCCTCTTCCCCACACAGACACTGATAGAGACAAGATACACATCCAAACTGCAATATCTGACTTTCTTTTGGTCTGAGCTTCTTACTGTTAATTAGAAAGTTGATCGGCTTGACAAGAACAATATACGTGGCATGTTTTGTAACTGTAGGTAAAACGAGCAAAGTTAACACATTTTATGTGTCCTTTTTTAGTCATAAAATTATTTTCCTCGCCACGACCAAACCGTTCGAGATATCAAAAATCCGTCCGGAATTGAGCATCCTCAATGTCTTGACTTCATGCACACCGAGTATGGTGGTGATTGGTAAACACATGCGTTGTAATTTGATGTATTTCTCCTAGGAGATTTATTCAAACAACACATAATTCCCAACTTCCATTTGAACTGTCTTAAAACTTAGAGCAGAGATGGGCGCAGGTCACGCAAGTCTCAAGTAAGTCTCAAGTCTTAACCGTCAAGTCTCAAGTAAGTCCCAAGTATTTTTTGGGGGGGGGGGGCAAGTCAAGTCAAGTCACAGGCTATGTCAAGTCAAGTCAAGTCTTGTAGTAGGTTAAGTCAAGTGCAAGTCAAGTCACCTTATTATTTTAATTTTACATGCAGAATCTGATCTTAATAAAATGAAAAGACAAGATAAGTATTTGCCAGTAAATTACAATAATTTGCATTGTAAATACTCATGTTCAGTAAAATACACCATGGAATCAAACAAAATTGTAACTTCATAAAATTATTTATTTTTCACTTCTGCCAACAGTGTGTTTGAAATGTTTTAAATTTTCAACATTGAGTCCATAAAACAAATAACAGCTTAACATCCTACAGACTCTCTGAACACCTTCCTCTCTCTCAAACACAGTTTACAAACAATATTAAACTTTGTTACATTTCTCCTCTCTCTCTCTCTCTCTCTCTCTCTCTCTCTCTCTCTCTCTCTCTCTCACTCTCTCTCTCTCTCTCTCTCTCTCACACACAGTGGCGGTTCCAGACCATTTCAACTGGGGGGCCAAGCTGGGGCCAGTTGTACTGTTAGAGGGGCAGTTACATTTAGACCTTATCATTTTCTGCACTGCACTGAATGCATAAATAAGCAAAATACCATGTTTATAATTATCCAACAATTTGCATTTCCATTATATTTTTACATTTGCATTACATATATCAGTCTGTATTTGAATTTCCATTTTATTTTTTTACATTGAATATACAGTATGTATGTATATATATATATATATATATAATTTTTACAAATTAATCTACGATTTTGTGGTTTTTTTTTTTTTTTTTTTTTTTTTTTGCAAAAAGATCAGCAAATTATCCTCTAAACTGGCCTTTTTAGGGGGCTTTCCTCTCAGGGTGAATGAGCTTTTATAATTGTTTTTTTCCTGACATCTTTGAAAGACAGAAGCAATAATTAATGCATCCTTGGCCAGGATATAATTATAAAATATGACATGATTTTAAAAGTGACCTATAAAATCGACTATGCAATACACTTTAATTTATCTAGTGCTAATAAAATTATTAAGCCTATTTGGAGAGAGAGATGTTTTAAAATCGACTATGCATTACACTTTAATTTATCTAGTGCTAATAAAATTATTAAGCCTATTTGGAGAGAGAGATGTTTATAATGTGACAATATGTCAGTCATCGTGATTCGTGTAATAAGATGACTAGGCCTAGACTACTTGTTCTGAGCAGGTGTTGTCAGTGAACAGGCTGTAAAACTGTTGTCTAAGTTACAGACTGATACTAATTAAATGGGAAACGAATCGATTACCTAACGTAACCTCGGTTCTCTCTTGATGAGGGAACGAGTATTGCGTAAGCTAGCTTTACGCTACGGGAAAGATTCATCTTACATCAGTCAAGTTGTCATTGTTTTTGTCAAACAAGTTGTGAATTTGTTGTAACATTAAAACAGGAGATCATGACTTACTCCGTGCTCCAAGTGATGTTCGGAGCTCCAGTGATTAGTTTCATCTGTGGGACAGGTGAAGAAACTTTCGGAAGATGTTGTAACAGAATCATATGAACAATTCCAGGATATGCTTTTTTTCATTGGTTGTTGTGTTAAATTTTACCCAGATACAATAGTGCCCTTTTCTGATCGGCTATTAAGTAGCACTTCTCTTTTTTTGATTGGCAGGGTCGACTGCTGAACTCCAAGCGAGACGCGCTTGATTCTCACGTGAGAGCGGCGCGGCCAGAGAAATTGCGTATATTAAATATATTATTAATAGTCTTTCCGCATGAGAAATACAATGTGTGACGGGAGTGTGAGACAAAAGACTGAAACGAGTGACTGTTATGCTCAATGCGTGACACTATAAAAAAAAATATTTCACACTGACTCCACATTTAGGGGGCCACAAGGGGGTCCAAGCTTGTTGTCGCAGGGGCACTGGCCCCCCCAGGCCCCGCCTAGAACCGCCACTGCTCACACACACACACACACACACACACACACTTTCTCTCTCTCTCAAGAAGCAAAACATGACTGCTAAAGGTTGTATCAGCGATGGCGGGGTAACATCACTTAACATCACGAGTGATATTCCCTTAGGCCACGCCCCTTGTCTCCCCAAAGTATTATAAGCAATCATGCGCATCCCGTGTGCAGAATGATGCACTTGAAGCAACACCAAGTCACAGCACGCAACGCTCACATTGAAAAGAACATAGCGAAGGGATGGTATCTATAATCTATGCTTAGTAGGGCTGCACGATTTGGGAAAATGTCATATTGCCATTATTGAGCCAATATTGCAATTGCGATTTGCGACTCCGATATAATAAAATGGTTTCATGAGTCCAACTTGCTTGGTTCTAAAGTAAAATGCACACACAGATTAATGTTTATTTCTCAACTCAAACTAAAAACACAACAACAACAATAAATGATTGATAACACCTATAATGATCAATAAACCATCAACCAAACCAACATTACAGTGATTCCATCAATTGAAAGCCATCAACTTTTTAAAAAATTATTAGGCTTAAAAAAAAATATATAACAGCTTTTAAATTAAGTGAACTTCAAACAATCCCCACATAAACCATAATAAAAAACATATTTACCTGTGCCCTTCCTGTCTTAACAGGTACAGAAATTGAATAAAGTTATCAA